CCTCCTGCCTCGGACCATCGCCAGCCCCACACGCTGGAGGGGCGGGTGTAGAACCCCACAGCCGGCTGAGTGGGATAATCTGCCCCCTAGTCAGGTCTCCTCCTACTTCCTAGGAGTAGCGTTTATACTGTGGAAGTGCCTACCTGCCCCCGTCGTGGACTGGGACTGTACTGCGCTAGGAGCTGTACAAACAGAACAAAAAGACCGTCTCTGCCCACAGGGGCCTGCTATTGTAAAGTAGAGACTAGTGAAATATCCTCAATACAAGGGTTTCTGTCCCTTCCAAAATGAGTGTTAGTGTAAACAATTCTGGCTAGTCCTGTTTTCCACTTAAGCGTCTATGCCCTTAGCTGCATCCAGCAGCAATGAGTTCCACCGGTGATTCACACACCATGGGAAAAAACTATTTCCTTTCAGCTCTTTTGAATTTGCCACCTTTCAAGTTCACTGAACGCCTCCTGGTTCTTGAGATACGATGGAGCGGGGCGGAGAAATACCGGCCAGCGGGCTGGATCTGGTCCGCCAGGGTTAGATCCTGGTGGGCCACCCCCATATTGACCTGCACGGCCACTGAGACAGCGATCAAGCCCCTGTGGGCCACGGACTGCTGGGAGCGGCAGGAGGAGGTGTCCTAATCCGTGCCACTTTCTGCTGCTCCCATTGGCAGTCCCGGTCCCTGCGGCCGTGCAGGTAAATATGGTCACGGCAGCCTTCTGCCACCGTGTTATTGCCCACCCATTAGTTACAAGAATGAAGGTTCTCGCTCTTTCTTCTCTAGGCTGTTCGTTCTTTTATCGATTTTTACCAGGGCAGTTCATATTCCTCTACTTCATAAAATGATTCATCCCATGGCTCTTGGTAGCCCTGTGGCTCTGCTGTCCTGTCCCTGCACCTAATCCCTGCTGGGGAAGGGTGGAGAAGGGTAGGGGGCTGGCTTTCAGCACCCCTAGTGCACTGAGGGTGTGTCTACACTGCACCCGTAGCTGGCAATAAGCTACGCAATCTGAGCAACGCACATTGCATAGCGTATTTGGAGTGTATTTCGAAACAGAGCACTATTCCGAAACATCCCTTACTCCTCGTGGATCGAGGTTTACAGGCACGTCGGAATAGCGCCGTTGCTTTCGAAAGAACGGGCTTGTTTAAAAGATGCGGAATAGCTATTTCCGGATACCGAAATACCGGACTATTTTTGAGATGTGATCAACCATATGGCACTCCGTGTAGACCAGTTTCTCAACTTTTTTTAAATAAAGTACCCCTTTTTCAAAAAAAAATTGTAATACCTACAATTTTCAGACACACACATTTTTTTTCTACCATTGCAACACATTTGTTGAAACAACGTAATCGTAGCCGGGCCAGCAATGAAATTTGTGGGTGTAAAAAGTACAAAAATAATAAAATGCTGTAAAACTTCAAACAAAAATTCAGTTTTCTCCAAATTTCAGTTGTGTTTGTGTATCCCTCCCCCACCCCACCCTAAGGGCACTGAGAAACACTGGTCTAGGCCACTGACGTATGCTGTTACAAGCGCAGTATAACGTTTTCCATATCGTTCTTCGCCCCTTTTCTGTGTAGTTTAGCAATTGGCTGGCTTTTCCGCCCCCAAGCGCCCTTTGACTAGAGGCCTGTGTGGCGTTGTCTATTAGACGGTGTTTGCAAAAATGGACTTTTGGTCCTGCCGAAAATTCTAACATTTCGACACGAGTTTTCATCCCAAACTGGAACAACAGTCAGACTATCAAAGAAAGGAGAGAGCAGAAGACACTGATCCAAAATGTTTCAAATCAGAAATGCTGCATCGAAAAGTGTCAACATTTCCGCGACTGCCTGTGAACTGTCTCGGACACAGCCAGGCATTGGTCACTGGGTCGCAGAACCGGCCAAGGCGGGGGCTCCTGTGATCAGGGCAGCTGGGATCCTGGTGGGGGGAGAGTTTAGCTCTGCAAGGACCAAAGGCTCTGAGCCAGCATCTTCACTGTAGCTAGGAGGCTGTTGGTCTCCTCCCTGGACCAGGAAGGAGAGGGCATGTGCCCCCACAAATATGTTTGGTGGTGCCCTCGCCACCTTGAGATGTCATTGAAGTTCA